TTTTTTTAATTAAAAATTTTAAAAAAAAAAAAAAAAAAAAAAAAAAAAAAATATTTTTTTTTTTTATATTAAAGATTGGATAATTTAGATATTATTATTATATGCATAAAATATTATTTTATAATAATAGCAAAGAGCTGTAAGTTATAATCTTAAAGCGTATTAATAGCTTAAATAATAGCAAAGATCTGTAACCTAAGCTTTCAACGGTTAGTTATAGCTTATATTTATTATGAAATGTTCAGCCTTAGCTTTCAAATGTTAGATACAATAATTTATTTTAAAATTTATCATAAAAAATTATTTCAATGAATATAATCATATATGTGATAAATATATAAGTTTGCTAACTTTCAAGTAAATATGTGCATGTGTATTGGATATTTCTTCATTGTTACGAAATAAAAACGTCAAGCTGTGCTCAAATTGCAATATTTGGTCAATCGATTGCTTTTTGGATTTATTTACATAGATTGGATTATAAGTAATAATGTTCTTGTATTCAGAGAAAGACGCGCTTAGGAATTCTTCAGCGCATTGACGTAAATGGACAAAAATTGTTATGGCATACACATGTGTATAAATATCGTGTATATAACAACAGCAATTCGAAATTTACCGCATATGACGAAGATCAAGTGCAATGTCATGCTTGTGCTTACGTTAAAGAGAGAATATAATTGCGGGGAATTCTTCGCGATGTTTCCAATGAAATACGTCTGTACGCGCACCTATATGTATGTGCTATTTTAATAGCAGGAAATTCTATTTTCTTATATAATCAACATATACATATATCTCGTTTTCATATAAACACGCGAGTACACGCGCCAAAGCATGCGTGGTTATATTCTTATCGTAAATATTTATGAAGTGTGTCATTTCGCATCGGACGAAGCCTGCGTCATTTAATAAGCTGTTGTCATTGAAAACAAATCCGAATATATTTTTATCGAACATTTATATAAACTAACAATAAGTTTGACGTATTTCCAAGTTGTTCACTTACCTGTTTGCTGACGATTGATTCCAAGCTTCCATGTTGAGATGTCAAGCCCGTGCGGAGGGACGTAACGTTCGACAATTTGATTCTGCATTCGTATCTTGATCGATCTACGAATATAAAATCCATGCGTTATATAGGATGTTTAAAGTTCGCAATGTTTTCTATGATGTATAAATTCTGTCAGCAATTTCTGTCAGGAATCTTATTCTTCATTTAACTTTTTTTGAATATTTTATTTTAACAGCATTTTAATATATTTAGAAGTTAGTAATACACACACACACACAAATATTTGATACTAATTATATTAAAAAAGATTCTCTTTAAAGAAAAAAAAATAAAGTCAAAATTAATTAAGGTCTAAAGCTAAAAAAAGATTGCACTACTTTGCATGCATGCGAAATGCAAATAATAAAAAATTGTGATGACGATAACGTGACGATAAACTATATATATATAAAACGTTAAGAAACTCACTGTTGTATATCTTCGTGCCATCTTTACAAATGCACGGTTGCTGCTGATTGTCGAGTGGACATTGCAGTATACAATTTTCCGAAGCGCATTCTGTAAAGAGATAATCAATCAATTATAGAATTCACGTACAAAATTCCAGAAATTTTCACGTTTCAACACAATCTCTATTCATACTTTACTCGGCCTTATTATCAACACAATAAGCATAAAGAATCCGCATAGCAAGATAAAATAGGTAAAGCTCTCTATTTCATGGATATAAAATATTACCGGTGTCTAAAGTATCCATAAGCCGAGTTTCGCAGTTATGCCCGACATAGCCGTTCGGACAATCGCAATGCATTGCTTCCGCTCCAATTTGTCTGTGAAATAAACAAAGCAATTGTTATTATTCACAAATATTAACATCATTGCAGAAACATACATATTTTTATTTATTTCTGTGAAATATGATTATTTTTATTTGATCAACTCGTAAATTAAAAATTTTGATCTCTGGGAAGAAAAAAAATAGCTTGTATTTATTATTTTTCCAATTATTATAAACAATACAATGTAAATATACTCAAATGATATAATGGCGATGAATATATTTAACACGAATAATATATTATTTACGTGGTCGTAATCACGCGTTGCAAGAATTTCATTTAAAAATTATTTAGTATAAATCAATATAAAATAGAGGATAGTGTACATAACCATTTAATTTATTGCGAAATAAATATAAAACTTTTTAAATATTACGATTCTTGTATATTGATATATGTATATTCATACCTGCATGTAGCTCCATTTTGACAAACTGTACTATGTTCATCATTGAAACATAACGGACCTTCGTTGCAGCTTTTTCCGCTAAAACCGTAGAAACAGTCGCACCAGAAAGACCTGCGATAGGAAAAATATAACAATCACGAAAATCATGCGTCCCCAGTGGAGAGTGCAAGATGATTAAAGAAACTTGAATACTAAGATTCGTAATTTCCCGATATTAAAACTATCTTTCATAGATATGCATTTGCTTAATATCTTGGATTTTCTTAATTAATTGAATTAATCTTCTACTCTGATACTAATTACACTTTTGCACGTCAGAATTGTCTGAAAAATTTCTCTTTAACTCCAACAACGCGGACGGTCGTACGTTAATTTCGCTTTTACAAATGTTGTATTTTTGTAAAAGAATTTTTAATCGATTGTTATTTAACGTTTTTATAAATTGTCATCGCTATATTTAAGTATACATATCCCATTTTAGAGGGATCCATACACACACAACACTCCATAGAAATACAATATTTATCACTATTACGCTATTGTGCTACTAGTACTGTACAACTATTTTATATGAAAAAATGCAAAATTTGCATCTCTTTTAAATTGATTAAGAGCTAATTTAGTCGGGCATCGTATATGCAGATGCTATAGTACTAATGCATGCGCTAGTATCGGAATAATATAGCGGATTATAAAGACTTGAAAACTCACGTGTAATCCGCGGTGACGAGACAGTTTCCCGCGAAGGAACAATCGCGCATAGTGCAGGATTCAGAATTGGGATGTTGCTCGGTCATTTCGTATGTCACATTGAATCCATACACGTCGAGCAGGTCGTTCAACACTCTGACGTGATTGCCTTCGAGTCGATCGAGTTCAAAATCGACCACCAGAAATGGCCTGAAAGTCCTAAGACGTCGGTACTCGAAGACGTTACCCTCAGTCACCTCCTTCATCAAGGCCGCTCCGAAGTTCATGGTCTCGGACTCGTAGTACGCGTACTCGGTGAAGCGAAGTCCTTTGTAGACGTAGAGCTGCGTCAGGTAGACGACGATGGAGCTATTGGTCGATGGGATGTCGGACACGTCGATCACCCAGCGACACTTGATCGGGACCGGAAACGGCCCGGGGAAATTCGGCGTATGTATGACGCCTTTAGGATCCGTCAAATGACCACCGCAAAACGGCTCCAAGTTCGTGGTAACACTCGGCGAATTCACACAGCAGAGATACAGAAAAAGAAAGACGCCGGGTACGGTCGACTTCATCTTCGTTCGATCAATCTGTAGGCATGAAAAAAATAATATTCTACATGACAATAGTATATAAGATATGTATTTTCCCTTATACGAATGTATTTTTTTAAGCTTGTACCCATGGTAAAGAATAATAGCAGACTATTTTATTATAATATATTGTATTAGTAGAAATATTAATGTTAGCATTAAAGCCGTTAATATAAATAAATAATCTTCATATTTCCAATTCGAAACCATTATCTGAATTTATACACCGTATCTTCGATTAGGTATTATCGATCCAAATTTCGGTTGAAGCCACAGACTTCTATATACATATATATAAGTCTGTGGTTGATGCTTAAGAATGCGGATATTTGGATGTAAAATTTCGCTGATAATACACACATATACACACATATATATACATAATTTCGGTTGACTTCTATATACATATATATAAGTCTGTGGTTGATGCTTAAGAATGCGGATATTTGGATGTAAAATTTCGCTGATAATACTGATAATACACCACATATATATACATATATATACATATATAAAGTTTAAAGAAACTATAAAAATGTATACAGATGTATTAAAGAGAATCTATGAACTGACTGGCGTGTCAATTGCGTCTCGCATCGACAATAAGACGTGGTGAGAGAGTTACCTGGGAAAACTCTCACTGCGCGAGAATGAGATCACGATGCATGTTGCAGAAGCCTTTTTCACTTTACCGCCATATTGGCAATGTGTCAATAACCAACTGACTATACGAGAGCGACGGACCTAAACCACAAACACAGATCTCTCCTCTCACGATACTACAGTCACCAGTCACGTCGTCACGTCAACGTCAGCGACCGACGACCGATCGCTGCCCGTCACTCGCATGTGCATACATACATGGACATCGGAACGTTGTACGCGCGAGCGCGATTAATATGGGTAATAAAGCAATATCAACGGATGTCACGACGTCGACAACGTTCTCATCGAGGTACTTATACGTATGTATGTACGTCACATACGTAACGGAATCGAGAAATTGACATTTATTCTAATTCTCGTGTAGCGGCCAAAATCAGCTGACGACGAATCGGCCCAATCGGCCGTCAGCCGAGATAAAACGATTCGCTTTATTGCGCTATCGTCGCGCGTGTGCGTCTCAGTAGTGTGCGTTGCAATATAATAATATAATAATATATGCAACACAAATCGGTGTGATTGTACTGCGCCGCACCAATGACGACGACGACGACAACGATGACAGTTGTGCTCTTTTTTTGGTCTGTTTTGACATTTGACGAGTCAATATGGCATCCTCGTCACAGATGAGAGTCCGCAATCTTTCGCGGTTATTTTAGAGGGCTTTATTCTCGCTATTCCGCAAAGTCGCGTGTCGTATTTGGACTCGGTATTAAATACTTCTGGCAGGGAAATTCGACAAATGACGCGATTTCGGATTAATCGCGGTTATCCTTGATTTTAACACAATCCTCGCGATAGGAATGTTTAGTCAGTATATTAGTTCTCCACTTCCGCGTATTATTACGTAATCATAATATTTAAAACACTATCACATCCGAGCGATACTGGCAAGAATATGCACTTTCCTCCATTGATGTTCTGTTTTGATTAGGAAAGTGCCCGAGAAAGTTTACAGTTTCTTTTATACAATTAATTCGTGCACCATTCACGTGACGTTATTTTGACATACGTTTTGACACGGAAGAAAATTCTTCCGTTTTATATCATCCTATTTGACATCATATGATCTAATATGCGCGGGTATAATTTATTTGAAATATTAAAAAATGAAGATGTGAAATATATCAAAGTGTTCACGCATTTTTATTAATGTTGCATTTTAAAGGTACGAGATTGTGAATACACAGATGACTAATGTTGTATGAAAAGTCAATAGAGTAAAAAAGGACCAGAAATTGTTAAATGACAGCAGAAATATAAAATGTTTGAATCTCCAAGAAGTCTCCAGGAGGTTTGCATCGATTTCATCTGCGGTAACGTTCTAGGCTTGTGCGAGGTTCATCTCGGTGATACAAGTCTACATTCTTCCACTACTCCTAATAGTACCATTGTTTCCGGTAAGTGTCTGTATGAAATTATACATTGCAAACTTTGCAGAATTAAAGAAGCATATATTTTAGATCAACAAGATGTCTGTACATTGAATAGTAATAGTGCAGAAGTTGCTTTTGATACTACAATAGGTAGAACATTATCTAATGATGCTCCCTCCAACTCTGCAACTCGGCTTACCTTTAAGCATCCAGACGCCTTTTTGCCGGCCGAAGTGTCGGAGCAATTATTATCCAACCTGTGTGAAAAAAAAACTTTGTCCGACTTGACAATTACACTTTTTGACTCCAAGACCACTAGATTAAGGTGATGAGATTTAATTAAAATTTAATTAAAAGAAAGAATTTATAACAATACTTAATTTTCTTTTAGGCATGTACGACTGAAAGACGCGTCGACATTATCAGCTAAAGGCTTAAGTGTTCTTAAGCAACATAAAGTTATAGATTTAATAGTAAATGGACTTAAAATAACTGTTAATGATTTAATTAGTTGTTTAGGTGATTGGAGTATACAAAATCTTAGGTCGCTAAGTGTAGCTAAAGGAAGCTTTATGGATTTTTCAAGGTTATTATCAAGCTTCACACACATTACAACACATTTTTAAGTTGAATTATAGGAGATTGTTGATAATTTTATAACTTTGTACACATATTTTGTGTTGTAGACAACGCATGGTAGATATTGCAACATTAAACAAATTAAAGGCGCTTCACACCTTGAATGTCTCAGGGACAGAATTTAATAAACATGGTTTGGACATAGTAGTCGAAGATCTTCCCCTTTTAGAGAGCTTAGATATATCTTGTACAAGAGTTGATGATATAACACCGTTAAGAAAATGTAAAGATCGTTTAAAGACATTAAATATGTACAATTTAAAAATAAGTGGGTGTGGAAGTTTAATACCAGTATTACTGGAGTTAAATGAATTAAGGCATTTAGACATTTCCGATGAAAAAGATCCACACGGTTTTGAAGTTTTTGCACCAGCTAGGCCAAAAATAACAGATTTTCTAAGAGCTCTTAATTGTATGCCTTATTTGACGACTTTAGATTTGTCGGGTGAGTAGAGAGTGATATTTATTTACTTGAATATATCTCCAGGTGCTTGACATTACCTGAAATCACCAATAGTAATCGAATGTTCAATATCTAGAAATTATCCTATATATTTATGACATGACAAATAAAACAAGGGCTATGATTTTTCACAATGCAATGAAACAAAATAAGAAACGCGGTCGTTTATTTCGAAATAAATAGACTAAAATATATTGTAAATAGACTATTTATTTATAGACTATAATTTAAACATCATCCTTAATCGGGTTTAATAACATCCATATTAGTGTAAAAATTGGCAATAGCTATTCCTCTGAAGAATGGAATAACTGATGTGATTGGGCAGTTTTATTAATTATATTAAACTCGATTAAGATGAGTGACGTGTAAACGTATAGTCACAGATTGAGAATTTTTGAATAAGGCTACAAGAATTTGTTATGGATTTATTATCTCATTTTTCGTATATAATCGAGATGTATTATAAATATAAATCACAAGTTACGCGCGTGTGTGTACATATATTATTTATAATTACAATAAAAATTAGAAAATGAGAAAAGAGATAAAAAGCAATGTTGAAAATCAAAAATATTCATATATGCTATTAATCGTTCACGATGTAATAATAAATTTTGCTATAATATGCGATCCAAATAATGACCATGATCCGTTTTGGCATACGGTAAACATATTATATGTATATTATACATCGATGCAATATCATCATGTTTCTTACCTTACTTATAATTCTGCGCTTATTATTTACTTTTCGCGATACTCGGAAATAAAGGAAAAACGAGCGCGAGTTGCCTCTGTTGCTATCTTGGTTGCCGCTCAATCCGCTACCCTCCTCGTTTCTTTTCGCATCGACGTTGCTCCATCATGACGACGTCGATGTATTCTCGCGTATAGGCAGGACCCGGTGATCTCGCGTTTACGATTAGTTAGACTTACTCGCGAGTATCGCGCGAGGTGCGAATCTCCGGGGGTATCCGGTGCATTTGGATCGATTCCATCGTACATCGTCGAGAAAGATTCGCGATTCGGAACGAAACGGTACGCGATCGTCGCAAAGTGGCTGTGAGAGATGAAGACGAAGACGAACGCGAATGAGCGATCGAAAAATCTCGATTCGACCTTGCGAACGAGGTCGTATGCACTGATACTGATACTGATCGCTCTTTTCGATGCTTATCACGGGATACGCAAAGCGCAAAGTCGCGCGACCTGCCGGGATGCTGGGCGTTAGCTTTCTTCTATCGGACAATCCGTCCGCGCACAGCGCACACCGCACACCCCCTCCGAATGCACCCTATGCAGCCTAATTCACGATCTGTGTACGTGTATATACGTACGGTGCGTGGAGTGGTATCATTGCCATTGCTTAGAAGGGAGAAGGGAAAAGAGGTCGCGGTGTAGGTTTACAATAAACAATTCAAATTTTGGCGCCATCTCAAAGATTTATATACCTTTGTCGTGGACCGTAAGAATAATGTAAAGCAACGAAACTTTTGTAATCTGCCTTACGATTTTTCCGCGTATGGTTTATTCGAGTTTCGTTACTTTATGCTTTGTACAATCCCGTTTGTTTCCCGTTTCAAATTTGTTCGGATCGGTAAAAAAGAAAATCTTACTCTCTTATATCATATGTTCCCATATATATATATGTATATATATATATATTAATATATTCTCTTATATCCTGTTCTTAAATATCCTCGGCTGTTCAGAATTGACAGAATTTTGAAATACAAACGTTTTTTCAGAGCATCGTATTTGATCCTGCCGCCGAGATTTATTTCGTAAAGTATATCAAATATGCAACCAAAAAAAAACTGGGATATCTTAAAAAATCTTCCTAATAATCTTATTCCTAATTATCTTAATTTTATATACACCTTGTTTCTATTTGTTACATAAAGACAAATAATATCAATATAATATCAATAAAATAATAATATCGATAGAATAGAAAAAAAAGTTTGTAGGAAGTAGGAGTAGTAGGATAACTCAATATTGGCAAAAAGTCGTATGTCGAGGATTTCTTATCTGCAAACGACATAAGGTATATCAGTAGCGATTAAGTGGCATCGTAAGATACACAAAATATGATATAGCTCGAGATAGGAATTTGTATTAAAAACATCATTCGGGATGATGGAACTCTCTGTAGATTATACAAGTTTGCGAAATGCATACACGAAAGAAAAAAAAAAAAAACAGTGTGAAATCATTGCGTAATAAAAGTGATAGATGCGCTTTTATAACTTACGATTATAGTTCATGTACAGCTTTATCGAAAAAGGCAATGGTAACTGTTGTATCTTTTCCCTCATGTAAACAGCGAACGCGTTACTGTCTACAAAGTGCACGATAGTTGCGTTCTTGCGGGAGGTAGATTCTTTCGACATGGAGTGAGAGCCGTATGTATTTCTGCAAGAGCTGTAAATGGCGTCGGGCAGCTCCACGTCCATCGCGTCGCCCGTGTCCGTTGTATCAGTGATGTCGGAGTCGGAGTGATTGGTATTGGAGCTAGAACTAACGTCCTCATTACTGAAATTCATATCGTCCACTATACCGCTATCCGTCTTCTCGCGTTTCGCGATTTTCTTGCGTTGCGCGAAAGCGTTCTCCTGCTCGGCGTCACTCTCGCTGTCACTCATATTAGAATACGCGGTTGCCGATTTCCCCGCGTCTCTTTCGCTCTCCTCCTCGTTGTTGTCGTTTATATCCGCGGTCACAGTAGTGGAACTGTGACCTGCGGCGCTTGTGCCGTCTGTGCCGTCTGTGCTTGTACTTGAAGCTAAATTCCTCACGGATGATCTTCGCCTTTGTTGACGTATCTGAAAACTCGTGGTCACAGCTGCGTCTCGAATATCTTCGCTAACGTTGCTCGAAACCCGTTGATTTTCTTCACTATCGTTCTGATTCGGTTGTATGACGGCTCGTACTAATTGCAGAGTCGTCGTAATAGCTTCTCCAGGATGTGCATCAGCGAGACGCGCATTCAGCAAGAAACGCGCTCGTCCAATTTCTTGTTCATCGTCGGTTAAGGCCTCGTCGGATTCCTCAAAGATGGGTATTACGAAACGTCTGAGGGTACGTTGTTGCGGAGTCTGTCTTTGCTGTACCGGTACTATAGGCTTCTCGGTCTCGAGATCAGGATGTTCGCGCCAGATATTTTGACGTAGATAATGTCGAATTCTACCACGACACAACTCTTGCAGAGGTAGAGGATTACACTCCGCTGCAACGTACAATTCGAAAATAGTGTCAAATATTTTTTTCATATATTAACAATAAATAATAACTATCTGCTCATGAAGCGTATAGATTACGTACGTAGGTGAAATAAATTGTGTTCCGAGGCTGGAGGTATGACTAGAGTCGCGAACGATACAGGAAGCATCGAGTACTGCGTCCAGATATCCTCATCCATTCTTTGCACACGTAACAATTGATCTCTGTAAGGCATTACCAATATACCTCCGATACGTACAAATTGCTTAATAAATACTTCGTGACTTTCTGGACACGCTGCTCCGCAATATACTCTATCGTATTGTCTGCCAGGTATGACACTGAGACAATTTCCTATTGGATATATTATTATGTAATTAATATAACATTTGATACAAGTTCACGCACACATTGCGCGTCACTTCTCCCGTGTTCAATCATTTTACCTTGTACAAATATTGGTTCACAGAAATCAAATTCATTTAGAGCCAAAGACTTTTGCTTGAACTCCTCCAATCTTTCGTATGCATATTTTAAACAATCTTCATGCAATTCGATGCCATGATTCGTTCCGTGTTGTTCTAAAAAGGATATCACAAAAATATCACATATATTCAATGTATTATATATATCGGCACGTATTAAAACGACAAGTTTCTTACGTAATATCAATCCTGCCATTGTGCTGAGGTAGCCAGTTCCCGATCCAAGATTCAGGAAACTTAAGCCAGGTTCTAAACTGAGTCCTTCCAATACTTCGCTGTATATACAGGGAGCTGATAAATGTATATTTCCATGTTTCCACGCTAGATCCTTGTAAGCGCCTTCTCGGCAAGAGGATAGAACATAGTCGGCTCTATCCACGGCTCTAAAAACTTGCTCCACTTTCTTTGTTCTGATATATCCCGATACCATTAAATTATCCACTAATTCGTCATTGTCCTGTCCACTGCTCACAGCTCCTCCCATGTTTATCAAAGTATCAAGAGTTCTATGATATATTCGATAAGCGTATCAATTTATTACGATGTCACTATGCAAAGAATTGTAGCGTATAGATGAAAAAAATTAATAAAAGATTCCAGATTTTGAAATAATACCATTGTTATAGTAAAACAGCGACTAAATAAGAAACTGATAAAAAATGCTTAATTATCAAAGTCTGCAATAAGGAAGTTATATTTATACGCATCTGTGCGATATTGTGTATCCAGGGCATCACCTTTAATATAAGATATTACTTGTAAGAAGCAGTGACTCAGAAATAATCACAATCCTAACTCGAATACAATCAGCAAGTCCCATTACAAGATTTTTGCTCAAACATACTCTATGTGATTTATATAACAATAATTCAATGAATTATATTCACGATATATATTTTTCAAAAATTAGAAAATAATTAGACCCATACACACACAGACAACGCGTAGACTTGGCTTTAAAAACAGCTTGTCAGGTCAAAGTACATATGAGGCATTAATTATGAATAATATGAAAGTCACGCAGATATATTAGCGATGTCGTCGCGTTCATCTAACTTATTGTTAATCTCCCAATCGTTAGTTCGATTATTCTCGATCATCTGACGATGTGATAATGTGATAGTATATGACATAGCGGCTTATCCATTTTTAAACGACGAATAAAACAAGAAATCCGTGATCTACGATGAAAAAAAACACACGAGATATAAACTTATGTTTATTTACGATAACAACGTCTCCCCCTCTCTTTCGCATCGAATAACGAGTGAAGGAGTAAACGAGTAAACGAGTAAACGAGTAAACGAATAAACGAGCAAACCTGCAAATAACGATTTTAATAGTAGATGAACCAAGTTACACACAAAGTGGGCAAACGCGTTTAAGAATTTTTTTGGCAGTGTATGTTTATTTTGTAATTTCCCAACACAACGATATCGCTGACGCTCGTAACACGTAGTGTAACGACACGATGTCGTTAATTAGGAAGTTAGATAACAGGCATTACCACACAAATCGAAGCACAATATGATGATCACAGCCGATAATATGGAGTCGACGAGTCGTTAAAGTGGAAAACAACTCTGTCTCGATGCTATTACTTTGTTAGCGATAGAGAACGTTGTTGGCATATTACGTTGACGAGACGACACGACACGACAGGACACGACACGACGACCACGACGTAATGCCGTGAAACGCACTAGAACGGCCTCCGTTCCGTGGCTCCGTGCTCCGTGGTTCGTGGTTGGACTTGTATTTTTATAATGCGAAAGGTTCATCAAGTCCATCAGCTGATACTACAAAACAAACCGAGCGATTGACGGACGCTCCTACGCCATTGGACAAAATCAAGTCAACGGGAATAACGGGATGCGGGACTGCGGGATGTTACGATGTTACCAGTTACCAGTGCCGTCACTCCTGCCAATTGCCAATGGGTGCGTTCAGGAGACACAACCGAATTGAGCAGCAATCAAACGTGATTGGTTCTTACATCTAGAACCAACAAATCAACGTCGAGTGTTGACAAGACGATGCTCAACGGTTGTGTGTCCTGAACGCACCCAATCTTTAAGGGTCGACAGGAATGACGAGCACATGAAGCTAATACCAGAGAGAAACCTGAGAGCGGCAAGCGGGAATGCCGGCAGAGAGAAGCCTGAGAGTCATGTTTGGTGTCATTTTAATCGCAAAAATCTCATTAATCCATTACAATTATTTTCAAACTGATAAAATATAAAATAAAAGTTTTAGTTTTTATTTTATAAGATGTTTATGTAATGTAGATAAGGAAAGATCCTCGATGCTGCTGGAGAGTCGTCGAAAGCAAGAGCGAGCGAGATGACTACGATCACCACCTAAATATTTCTATATATATTCCTTATAATCTGAAGATATATGTTTCTATTATATTAAAAATATTATATTTTATTATATTAAAAATAAATAATTTTCATATCAGGCTATAATGTTACCATACTGGCATATGGACAAACCGGCAGTGGCAAAACTCATTCTATGGGCACAAATTATGTAGAAACGGGAGACAAAGGTATAATACCAAGACTTACCCAAAACATATATTTGAAAGAATAAAACTGAAGGAGGACAGCTTTAAAGTAATTATATCATATATGGAATTATATCAAGACCAATTCTATGACCTATTATCTAATAAGCAAAAGAATCAATCTATCATATAAATATTAGAAACCTCAGAAAAAATTTAAAAATATGTGGCATTACCGAAAAAAAAGTCGGAAATGCCGAAGAGACTTTGCAATATTTGATTGAGGGATCTACATGTCGTACAACGAGCGCGACTGCTATGAATGTGCATAGCAGTCGTAGCCATGTTATATTTACGATATATGTATGAACAAAAGAAAAATGATCCGTGAGTATAATTTTTTACTTGATTCTTTTATTGTATTTTTTCGCTATCCTGTGTTATTAAATTTGTAAAAATAAAAATCTCTCTTTTTTACACAGAAATACTGCGATAGTTGCCAAAGTCCATTTAGTTGATTTAGCGGGCTCGGGACGTAATAAGAAGACTCGCGCTACTGGAGAAAGATTTAAAGAAGACGTATATATAAATAAAGCATTGTTAACGTTAGGCAATGTCATTTCACAGCTTGATGCTTCTGGAACATATATTGGATACAGAAATAATAAAAGCTAACAAGAATTTTAGAAGATTCTCTAGGTGTCTCTAGGTAAATCACAAACGATTTTCTATCAATTACAATTATCACGAAATCTGTTTATTATTAAAAAGTGTCGGCTGACATACAATATACAGTATGTTACATAATAAATTTTCTGTCAAATGATAAAGTAACGCGACATCCTCTTATGTAATCTAAAATCGTATTTAAACGAATTTGCATACTCTTGTAAAATATTTTGGCTAAATTATAATCTACTATAGCAGTTTCAAAATTAATGTCAATTTTGGGAAAGAAATAAATACAATACAGTGAAAATAATTAACAGTCTTTTCTGATGTAACTGATTGTAACTTAATATGTATAATAATTAAAAAATAAATTATATCAATTATCTGTTTTTCTACTAGCAAATGTAAAATCTGTTTGAATCTCAGAATCTGAATTCAAAATATTGGAACTTTGAGCTTCTGATTTTCTAAAGCGTAAAGTTCTCTTCAATTTTAATTCTAACATATGTTCTCTGGCCTCTCTCAATTTCCTGGTTGGTACATGCTCTAATGCTTTCTTCCAATCTTTTGTATGCCTTAAATCTAACAATACACTTATCATCTGATTGAGCGTTAAACTCTTTGTTGAACCAGAACCCCAAGGAAGATATTTTTCCAAGGGTAATTTGGCCATCTGTATACCATCTTTCTTGGCTTTTGCCAAAGATAAAGGTTGTTGATTATGCTATAAATAAAGAAAAAATTGGCTTAATGAAAAATATACACAATATGTATATGTGTGTGAATATATATATAAAATAAATAAATATATATATAAAATATATAAAATAAGATAAAAACATTTTATCAACTTACCTTGTCTACCATTGCACCAATGATATACACCATATCAGGGTTATATTCAGTCATATCTGTTCTACAATGTGGAGTTAGATATACTAGCTGGTCCCTTGGAAACAAATCTAAGTAAGATTGTGATGTTATAATCGCTGGAAAATCATTATCCAGTAAATTAGGCATGATGATATTGCAGTACTGCAAAAGCGACCCATCGTTTTCCATATTACAAAAATAAAGAGACATAGGATTCACATGAAGGCGGTTGGTGGCAAAAGACAGAGTAAGCTGTTTAGCACAATCGTGCATCTCACGCTGAGTCATGTAATTTTCATAACCACAATCCAGCACAATTTTTGGTTCAAACATCATAGCTTGAAGTAATTTATTATTATAATAGCGATTTATGGTTGTATCATATATACGTAGAAACAATGTATTATGTAAAAGTCCATATTTTATTTCACCAGTATCTTCCTGTTCTGCTTGTGCCTTTTTAACAAGTGCTTCAGTTTTCTTCAATTCTTTTTTTGCTTTTCTATTTACCTGTGCCTTCTCATTTAACCACAAAAATTTGAGGTATTTTCTATATAATGTTAAAAAAAGGAAACATATATATACTTAATCACAAGATATTATTTATATTTAAAATTATAAAAATATTATCAAAAAAATAAATAAATAAATAAAATATTTACCTTCTTTGTGTCTTGCTCGTCATTTTTATCAATATCAACCAGTCTTTTGTACTAAGTTCCTCAGGAACTTTTTCAGCATTGTGTCGCATGACGTCTATCTCCAATTTTAATATTTCAAAAACTTTCTTGTTTTCAGGATCGGATAGAAATTTGTCCAGCTTCTGCTGTAAGTTATATTTTACACCAATATTTGTTCGATCGTTTTTCTCCTGGATCGTAGCTTGACAACAAAATCGTTTACTCCAAAGAGTATTTGTATGACGATTGATCACATGTGACAAAATATTTTCGTGGGTTGATTGTGTGAAAAATTTCTTATGAAATTTTACTGAGACAATTAGACATCTCATATAATTGTACATTTTACAAGTGTAATTTTTCGTAACACAAGAGAGTTACTGTTGTCAACTAAAGCCGTTTGAATAACGTGCTTCCAGCAAGAAAACACAGGCACATAACCACAGTATAGGTAAAGCCTATCGCACAATGCTAGGCGATAGGTGATAGGCTTAAGAACTATAGACGTTAGAAGAACGTAAACTATTAGCGTTTTCGAATGAACAGATTAATCCAACCCGGATTAATTAATCACTATATTTTACTATGAATTCAAGTCTTTTATTGGCAGAAACGATGCAATGACGTCATTAATCGCTCTCGGAGCTATTAAACCTGCTACATTCGAAAACGTCATATAATGGGTGCGTTCCGTTTCACGCATTGAGCGCATAGATCGCCTGGAACACTGTACCGGCTAGAGAAAGCGTTACAGAAAAAACGGCGGCGTGGCTCCTCTCAGGTTTCTCTCTGGTTTTAGCTGCGCAATGATAAATATCGTATGCGATACGTTTCGAGAATATAGCCCCGGGTGGGAAATCGAAAAGGTACAATTTCATGTGCTGCAAACTCGGGCAGCAGAGAGGTCACGTAATCGAGATGGACGAATGAGTGACGACGGTGTGGCTGCTGATTCGTCCATTTCGATCACGTGACCTCTTTGCTGCACGAGGTTGCAGCTCATGAAATTGTACCTAAATACAGCCTTTCATGTTTCCGCCCTAGGGGAAAAGTTACATGATCGATACCCAGTTGTATGCACACATATCGAATATCTATCTTTCTTATTTCATTGCTCATGGTAATCAACGAGATTCACCCAACTTGCATCAACCACCATTTGCAATCGTTCGTTCATTTGCGTTCGTTATTCTTATCGACTTTTCTGTACATTGTATTGAGTGTTATCGCTTTGGTAAGAAAATTTGAAAATTTTCCTGTAATATATAATTATTATTTAAATAAATCGAACCTTTCATCAATTATTTTATAAGTTGTAGCAATATCTGATTTGATTTCGCAAATTTTAAAGATGCTCCAAATAAGCGTTATCCGCCACGTTGCCTTTATACCGAGTATTTGGCATAAAATAGTATAATTATATTATGTGTTGTGTGTGCGTGCGTGCGTGCGTGCGTGCGACGGATTATTCGTTATAACATATATCTTATATTCGCAACATCTATTAATGCATAATAATTGGTTTTTGAGATTAAACTCTTGTTTATAATTTTTTTTTGTCATGTATGTAACACATATACGTAATACCCGGCATATATATAGTTTCTATTACCTTCATCATATGAACTTTATTTTATATTTGTATAACTTTTGTTAATGTAGCTTTATTATAAAGATACGATGTGTCTGTACATATTTATTTCTAATTGAAATTTGGAATATTTTGAGTTTTGATATCTCTTGGGATATTTTGAGATTTTCGTGTTTTCATAAAAAAAAAAAAGAAAAAAAAAAGGAAGAAGATATTTGAAGAAAAAAGCATATATGGATTATTAAATAAGTTTAATATATTAATTCTATAAATCGTAGCGAGACATAAGTGTTATTTTAAAGTATCTTCTAATAGAAGACAATTCTCAATAGATAGCGATTGGTTTATTTAAATGAAAAAGTATGTGTGTGTATCGTTTCTAATGGACCTATTTTCATACAAAGATTGTAAATAAATAAAACTGTATTGCATAAAACTTGTCTAATGACCTATGTATATATATATATATATATGATTCTGCATATGTAAATCTTTAAAAAACAAAATGAAATTAATTATCTTAAAATGTTTACCACAGCATAAGGAGCACAATGTCGTTTAACCGAGGAGTGAAACGAGATTCCTTTGGAAATCGAGGGAATTTCAATCGGGGCGGTAGTGGAGGCAGTGGTAACAGAGTCGGCAATAACATGGGTAATAATAATATGGGAAATAATATGAGTGGAGGAATGAGCGGAGGCAGTGGTATGGGTGGAATGAATCCCTGGGAAGGTGGTATGATGCCTGGCAGAGGCATCTTGCCTACACCCAATAATAATCTCTCTCTGGCATCACCACAGGCACAGCTAGCAATTGCTAGTAATCTTCTTACAAATCTACTTCGCAGTCAGCAAGAAGTGCAACCACAGGTACGAGAATGTTGTTTCTGTTTTGAAATTTTATTTTATTGTGTGTGTTCTAGGATTGCTCTAATTTATTATTATGCATCAATGTAGGTACCGTCTCTCATGAGTCTCGGAAATAATTATTCTGGACCAGGATCGAATTATCCCAATCAACAGAACTATTCTTCGGGACGATTTAGCGATCGACCGGCACGGCATCCTATAAAGAATCAACGTCCTCAACCTTACAACAAAGTAAGCGATTTCATGCAATACACGACACTTTTAGAAGCAAACATAATCTTACGACACTTCTTTTAACACTTGCTTACGATCTTCTTCTGTATCGTAAACAGGAGTTGTAAATTGACAATCTTTAGTCCACGCTTCCTTGCGTGGACACAAATTGTCTTAATTATTCTACACATTACAAATTCCTCTTCTTGTGCCGATCGATTAAATAGGATATATCGCTCACTCGATTAGACGTGGCCGGCGAAATCATTAAGATATAATTAATTCTTGTTGATGGATCAGCCTTGTCTGAACGACTCCTAGATATCGTCTACAAAAATATTTCATTAAAAGAGCACTGTTGAAAGACGTGTGTTGATTTTTCAGAACATAATTCTCAATTTATTACTTACTGATGGAAGTTCACTGGGGAGGTTTTTGCAGGACCGAATTTGAAACTGACGTTGCCCCGTTTTATAGTCTATGTAACCAGAGTCTTCTGTCCACTAATATGATATTAAAATCAATGTGGTTGCACTTTATTCAAAACTACTATCGCTTATATACAAGTTGCATATTTCACTTGATTTTGACTTAACTTCGTCTTCACGTTTATTAGTATTCATCGAGTTTTGCTCAAGTATTTTTAGTGGCAAAAATTATATCTACTTTTATAATTATGATCGTACTTTATGATTGTTGCGATCGTACCTAACACACGATGTATCCTCGATTCGAAATCGGGATGCACTCAACAGTTCTCCCCTTTTTGCTTTCATACTCGGTATAGAAATGGAAGAAAGAGTTTTGGTATTTTACCGGCTCCATTCTGCTTCCATTTATCGACCATAGAACTGTTTTCTCCCTCAAATTCCCAAAGTGGTTTCTAGAACCAGTGTCTCGATTTGAGAAGAATCACAGTTACATCAGATACTTCTCATGATACTTTTGGTCGGTTGACCTCTACTACTTGAATAGATGGGCAATCGAGCCCGAGATGGCCCTGCTGGGCGGCGTGGCCCATCCGCACAACAATCTCGTGCACCCCAGTCTGGCAGTCAACGTATGAACGGAAACCAAATCCAACATCGCAACGATAAATCTTCTAAACCAATTCCTGCCTCTAAACAAAATCAGACTGCCAAAAAGGAACAGCAGGATGTTAAGACTTCTGATAACGAAAAAGCAGAACCGCCTGTTCCGAAAAGGTAAGCTCCCGATTACCTGTGATTGGTATAGTTTCTTCAAATTTCAGTAAGTCTCAGTCTTTCTTCAAACTATTTGCCTATATATATA